ATTCTGGCAATAAAGTTTGGGTAATATTTGAATATGAATCAAAAATCTCTCCCTCGTGCTCCTCTCCCCCTTGTTCTGCCTTTTGTTGTTGCTGCAGGCGCTGCCCCCCGCCCCCCCGCTCGCCCGCTCCACCCCATGGCCTCACAAATGGAAAAATGTCTTCAGCAGAAACCTCCCAGTTTTCATTCTCTAATCTGCAGCATCTGTGCCCAGCCCCGAGCTCCTGCGGGCGGCCGTGGCCCGGTCCTCCCCCAGCTCACGCTCACGAGCGCGTGCAGGTTGGGTTCTCCTTGCCAGGCAGCTCAGCAGGTGGAGGTGGCACCGCACCAGCCCGGCCACGCCGCGAGGATGGAGGGTGTCCCCTGTCACCCCGTGCACCGGGCTCGCTGCCTGGCCCAGGCCATGTTCCCAGGCAGGAGCGCTGCAGGGCACCCAGCAGCAGAGCAGCACGGGCAGGTGCCTGCCTGCTCTTGGCTGTCCTTTACAGGCCAGGGCGGCCAGCTTTGGCTCACTTATTTCTTTTTCTCTTGCCCTGTGTGTTTAGCCGGCCCCAGGGATGAAAAATTCCCAGCCTTCATCCGTGCCAGAGCTGGGCACGTGGCAGCAGTGGTAGAGTGGGAATCTCACGATGCCTCATGTCTGAGTCCTCACACGCCAGCCTGAGGGCTCCCAGCAGACTCGCACTGCACCTCTGGGGCTTTTCCTTTTTGTCTTTCCCATTTTCTTCTCTCTCTCTTTTTTTTTATTTTTTTTTTCAGCGAACAACTTTATTTCCCACTTTGACATTTTCCAGACCCACCTGGGAGCCTGCTTGCCAGAAGGAGAAATGGCACAAGAGGAAATACATCTTCACAGCCTCGAGAGAGGAGAAGGTTGGAATCTGAGTCCATAAACAGCGTTGCTGTGCAGTGAGCAAAGACAGAGCAGGTTGGGCTCTGGAGAGTGTAACCCCACCTCTGCTGCTCCACTGCCAATTAAAAATAAAGAAGTGGAACTTGTTTGTTTTTCCCTCTCGGGCTGGGGATGCCATGCAAGGAAAATCCCCTTCACAGACTGGGGAGTTTTTGTCTTGGGGACCTTCTGGAACACACAATGGCTCTGACCTGGCCTGGCTCGCTGGGACCTGCCAAGAACCACTATGGAAAATTCCCATTTCTGCCCCAAATCGTCAGGCCAACTCCTTCCACTGCCATAAATGTGGCCACCAGTGCACGACCCCCATGTCCTTGTCCCCAGCTGTGAGCTGTGTTCTCCTCCTGCCACGTGCCCTGCCACTGCCCTGCCTCTCCTGCTGCCTGCTGGCAGGGAGCTTCAGCTTAAATCAGGCAGCACTGCAGAGGGTTTAACTCTGATTTAAACAGGTTTTCTCTGGCTTTGCAGAAGGCAGGTCAGAGTGGTGGTTGCTGAGGGATGGCAGTGGAGTGCTGCAAAGCTGCTTCCTTCAGTGCATTTCTTCTGAGCATTGTCACACTGCATGCCAGCAGCCACGCTGACAGCTCAGACAACGTGGAAAAGTCAGTCTGACACACACTGGGGCTTTATTTTATAATGCTCTGTGCCTGATGTTGATTAAAGCTCCTTTCCAGTGTTGCTAATGCTGACACCTGGTAAGCCAGGGCTGTCCCCAGTGGTGAATTACACGAGTGCAGAGCATCATTTACTCTCCCACCTTCACTCACCAGAGCACAGAGCACTTTTCTGCTCCTGAAACTGCCAGGATAACCTGTGCATTTGTCATGGCCAGCGCTGGAATGATGGATATGAGCCGGGCAGGGAGGAAGCGCTGCCGGGGTTCCCGCAGCCCATCCCCACAGCCCTCACCCTCCTGCCCCACCACAACTTTTATCCCTTCACCTTTTTTTTCTGACTCACTGAGCAACAACTGTCATGTTTATACTCTTCCCCCCCAGTCCTGCTCTGCTTCAAGGATTAAGCTTTCATCCTTCATTATGAGCTTCTCCCCCAGGCAACATTTTCCACGAAGAAAAAGGAATTTCTGGGATTTTGCTTTTAAGAGATTATGTTACTAAGCATGTGTGTGTTTGTGCTAAGGTGAGGAGCTTTCCCACACACACGGGTGATCTCACATCCTGGGGCAACGTGCGAGTGGGGTGGTGTGGCGGGCAGGTCCCTGCTGCTGCCTGTCCCTGGCAGCTCATGCCCTTCCTCCCCTTGCATTCCTGCATCCTCCTCTCCCATCAGAGCGGTGGGACACCCACGAGGGGGTCCTTGGTGCTCCCCTGGGGACCAGGGTGGATCCCACTACCACACTGGTGCGTGGTCACCCCTCTGGGATGAGGGATACAGAATGGACATCCCTGGGGATCTGGGAAAGGAGGGACTTCATCCTTGCTCCCTAAACTGGGGGCCACTGCCACGGCCCTGCCATTTGAGCCAGAATGGCCAAGAATTGGGTGTCCTCTGCCTGAGGCTGAGCTGGGGCTTTCCCTGGCTCCAGCACCATTGGGGTGCTCCTGGGGGGCTCACGGCTTGGCAGAGCTGGGACCCCCCTCCTTTGTCTGTGGGGCGAGCGCTGACCCCGCTGTGCTCCTGCCTGTGCTTACACGAAACCTCAGCTACTTTTCTTACAGGGAGCTGCTGGCACGCCTGGGGGCTCGGCGTTCCGAGGGCTTGGCTGCACAGCGGCTGTTGAACAAGGTTGTGCTTTCATTGGCAGCAGCTCTTGTTATTAAATCCTTTTCAGGAGCTCATCTAAGCCCAACAAATTAACATAAGGGAAGCACAACAGATAATGTCAACCGACCAAAATAATCCAAGTCTGTAGTTACAACAGGGAAGGCATAAACACAGCCCAGGAGGAATAACTGCAGCGTGTTTAGCGAGAGCATCTGGGCTGCTGCTGCTTAGCAAGCACTCCAGCTCTGCTGGGAAATAACCAAGGGAAGGTCAGGTGCAGTCTCTGAAAAATCCCAGCCCCACCAAATCCTCAGGCTCCCAGGGATGCTGGTGTGAGGCTGCTCGGGGGACACTCGGGGACATGGCCCTGACACAGCAGAGGCAGAGCCCCCCGAGAGCTGGGACATCCCCACCCCTCTCCACATCAGCCGGTGGAGAGCCACGGCTTCACCCGCTGAGTCACGGCTGAGTCAGACCTTGCTCATCCTCTGCGCACTAAATGCTGCTAATCCGAGTGTTCTCGGGGACACACAAAGACGTGCTCCTGGAGAGACAAGAAGCTTTTCCCCTGCTTCAACTGTAGCCAGTATATGCAAGAATTAATAATTAAATACAATTATTGTATTGCTGCTTCGCTGCCGGAGCAGCTACCATGATCCTGCTGTTGGGAAACTAAATGATTCCCAGCTTTCCATTGCTTTTTTGACAAGTTGTTTTCAACTTAGAAGTCAGTAAATAAAACTAGAAGCTTCTGTTGAGCTTAAACTCAGCTGGAAAAGAACACTGAAAAACGGCTCACAATGGCATTGCGGCCTTCAGAGCCCCCACCAAAATACCCTGAGCAGCAGGTCTGTATCACACATGCGGACACACACTATTGTGGGTATTAAAGAGCCTAAATCTGATTAAAGCCTTTCTATCCCCATCAGTGGTCAATTCCAGAAACCAGCTCACCCAGGAGGCTGAATTCATTTCACCCCCGAAGTCTAATTAAAGCCATTAGTGTATTCCTTGTCTTTCTGATAAGATCAAAGCATTCCAAGAGCCCGGCATTACCTTATTTTCAAGACAATTATACAACATATAGCATCGATTTATTCTGCCTCCAGCTGTACACATTTATCTCTGTCTATCATCGGCTAATCGGTCCCATCAGACACAGCCCAGCCCGGGCTCTCAGCTGAGAAGTGCCTGCACTTGCCAGGCCGGCTTTCTCCATCACCCTCACCTCAAATTATCTCCCGAGGCAGAGCCCGGAGCGCAGAGCCCGGAGCGCAGAGCCCGGAGCGCAGAGCCCGGAGCGCAGCCGGGTGGGACACGGGGCCCGTCCCCGCCGCCGTGGCCGTGTCCGGGTGGCCGCGGTGGCACCGGGGCTCCCTCCTGCCGCCGTGCCCGCCCAGCCCGGCCCTGGGGGCTGCGGGGCCCTGGCCGGGTCGCTGCCGTCCTTGCCCGGACCCGCTGCGGTGCCGGGGGCCCTGGCCAGCCCAGCGCTGCCCTCGGGCACCGCCGAGCAGCGCCGGGGCCGGGCGCTGGGGCAGCGGGCACGGGGTGCTCTCCCCTCCCATCAACATCTCTGCGGCAGCTCACGGCCCCTGCGAGAGCCGAGCTGTGAATTTTCATCTCTCAGCTAATCAACTCGCCTGCTAGTCCAAACTTGTCAGGAGCTTTATCCCTGCCCTGCCAGCCTCTTCCCGGCCCACGAGTGACAGAAGACGTTCCCATCCCTTCCCGAGACACATCCAGCTGCTACAAAAACAAACATCCTCCCGCTGGTGATTCCTCCTCGTCAAACAGTCCTGACCCTGGTTCCCTCGGGAACATCTGCGCTGCGCCCGTGCCCGGCCGCCGGCACATCCCGAGTCGCCGGCAGGGAAGGGCAATGTTTACGGCGGGGACGGCAGAGCCGTGTTCCTGCCTAAACCAGGGGTTTATTAATTGCCGGTTCTCCCGATTTCTCTGTGACAATAGATTAATCACCCGGCCGAGGCCGCTCTGCCCGTGAGGCTCCTGCAGACGAGAGGCAGCTGTGGCAGAGCCGGGCTCCCCGTGGAGCCTCTGTCCCTTGGCTGTGCCCGGGAAGGACGGGCCACCCCAGCCTGGTGCCTTCAGAAGGCTCAGCGTGGTCAGGACAGGTTACACACCAAGGGATTCCCGGGAAGCCCCGGGAAGTGGCTGTGGGCTATAGGGCAGAGGGTGGGACTGGTCCTGCCCCCTGGCTCCCTCATGGCCAGGCCACGTCTCTGTCTTGTCACCATGCGACCTTGTGTTAAACACCCTGAGTGCTGTGCCTGGCCCAAAACTCGGCTGTGGGCAGCTGTTCCTGCAGGTCGCCCCGGAGACCCAGCTCTTCACCCTCCAGTCACCAGGGTTCACTCTGGGTTTGCAGCTGTACCAGCCCACGGCCATCAGGCGCCAGCTGGCCATTTCTGGCACCTGGCTGTAGGTGCTGGCAGCAGCAGATCCATCCTGGCACGGGAGGCAAGCAAAGAGCACTGGGCAGCACAGGGGCTCTGCAGGGGTCTCTGCCCATGGCACGTGGGCACCAGGAGAGTTTGTGCCCAGGCCCAGTGAACATGCTGCTCCTCCAGCTTTTCATGAGCAGCGCGTGGAGCTGTGGCATCAGTGTGTGAAAAGCTCTTGGACTCCACACACACACACACACACACACACACACACACACACACACACACACACACACACAAATTCCCCCATTGCTTCGAAATCAGGATGAAAGCAATCAGAATCAGCTCTTCATCTGGATTTCCTTGTCTGTTAGACACTCAAGATCTGCTCACTCTATGGAAGGGCAGTTCAGGGGACCAATGCCTGTGCTGGAGAGCTCTGCAGATCCCTGCCTGACCTGGGACCCACAACGAGCCAGAACATGAGCAGCCCCCCTGTCTCTTGCACTGGCTTCAGCTTCCAAAGCACCCCAGTGCAGGGTGGCTCTCCACGGGGATCAGCCCCTGCCCAGCCCACCTTGGGCTCAGCTCACCCTCAGCACCCCTCAGAGCCACCCCTCACCCAGAGCTGACTCCAGGCATGCAGCACGTGGGATCAGTGGCCATGGGGGAATGCTTTCAGATGGACAGTCGCTGATTCCCAGTCAGCCAACACACAATTGGTTTGTGTTGCAGGTACATCTGTAAAATCGCTGCAGCCATGCACGTGGATTTTATGAGCAGGCAACAGACACTCAGGGACGAGCAGGGGATCCGGCATGGAGCAGGACCAGAAGGATGTACAAACTGGAAGCAGAGAACTGCAGCCGAAGCATGTTATTTCAACCTCCAAATCTAGCCCTCCGTGTGCTACTTCCCCTATCTTTATCGCGAAAGAGATGATTGCCCTGAGAGGGATTTTCCCAGGTCCCTTCAGCGGCTGCTCCGGGCCGGCGGGGCGGGTGACGGGGCCGCGGCGCCGGGCCGGCGCCCGGGGGTTATCAGCGGCGGTGGCCGAGGCGGAATTAGCGGGGCAGGGAAGTGGGTGAGCAGAGCTCGGCTTCTTGGCATGTTTGCTTGTGCTAAACCTGCGGCATGAAAACTTTTCACAGCAACACTCAGCGCCTGAAGGCTTCCTTGGCCGGCGGACCCCGGCGGAGGGGAGAGCCGGGGCTGCGCTGTGCAAACAAACCCGGCGCGCAGGCACCGCGGGCCGCATGGCCCGGAGCTTGCGCTCAGGCTGAATGCACGCCAAGGGAAAAGAGTTTTTCCTGACAGAAATGTGGGTTGCAGCTTTTGGGGGCAACCACGATTCCCGGGGGATTCCCTGCGATGGGATGCCCTGCGATGGGATGCCCTGCGATGGGATGCCCTGCGATGGGGTGTGTGACGGATCTGCCCTTCGCTGGCGGCTGCCGGCGATGCCCAGCGGCGGGGCCCCGTTTCCGTCCCGGCTGCGGCGCTGCCGCTGCCCAGCGCGGTCCCGCACGGAGCGGCCCGGGGCGAGCCCCGAGGCGGGGAGCGGCCCCGGCCCATTCCCCTTCCCGTTCCCGTTCCCCGGCCCATTCCCCTTCCCGTTCCCCTTCCCGTTCCCGTTCCCGTTCCCCTTCCCGTTCCCCGGCCCGTTCCCTTTCCCCGGGCCGTTCCTGGGTGCCGGTCGCCCTCCAGCGGCCCCGCCGCGCCGAGCACGGGTCGAGCCCTTCCCGGGCTGCAATGGCATTCCTGCCCTGTCCTGAGCTTTCCTGCCCGGCCCTGAGCATCCCTGCCCGGCCCTGAGCATCCCTGCCCGCCCCTGAGCATCCCTTCCCGGCCCTGAGCATCCCTGCCCGGTCCTGAGCGTCCCTGCCCGGTCCTGGGCTCCCCTGCCCGCCCCTGAGCATCCCTGCCCGGTCCTGGGCTCCCCTGCCCGCCCCTGAGCATCCCTGCCCTGTCCTGAGCACCCCTGCCCGCCCCTGAGCATCCCTGCCCGGTCCTGAGCGTCCCTGCCCGGTCCTGGGCTCCCCTGCCCGCCCCTGAGCTCCCCGTCCTTCTCCCAGGCTGCCTGGAGCTCTCCTGGCCGGCCCGGGTGCGCCGGTGGCCGGTGGGGATGGGGGCAGAGGTGGCTCGGACGGCGCTTCCCAGCCACAGCCCCACACCCAGCAGTGCCTGCAGCCCATGTGCAGAGGCTGCCAAAGCCTCAGGCCCCCTGCTTTCCCCACACAGATCCCTGAGCCCCCTCCTTGCCCTGCACAGACCTTTGGACCCCTCTCTGTAGCTCCCCCACAACCCCCGGGTCCCTCCTTGCCCTGCACAAACCCCGGGCCGGGATAACGCCCGGGGGACACGGAGCTGTTCAGCCAAGCCTTGCCAGCATCCCCCGCTGGGGCAAGGACCTGCCACGCTGCTGCTCTAAAAAGCCACCGGGGCTGCGGCTGGGCCACACCAGCTCCGTTGCGGCCCGGGCAGGGCTCCTCACCTCCGGCTGGCCCGGGCAGGAGGCAGCACCAGTTTGGTGCCTTTCGGCTGGTGCCGGCACTGGCACGACCTCGGGGATGTCATCAAGCCTGGAGAGATGAACAAAGAGCTTCTGCCCAGGCTGTTGCAAAACCTGTTCAACTGAACAGGTGAACAGGCAAAGATAAGAAAATCAGGTCACTGCTGGGGCTCAGGAGCTGTGGGCTCTGCCCTGCAGAAGGGCAGGGAGGCAATGGAGCAGCCCCAGCTCTCCGGGCAGAGGGTGCTGGTTCTGTGCATGGACACGCTGCATCCCAGACAAAGCAGCTTTTCCTGCAGCCAGGCTCTGCTCCCAGCTGCATTCTGCGACAGAACTGAGCTGCGATTCTCGGCGGCAGAGGGAGCTTCCAGAAGGCTGCATCCTGTCTGAAGCATCAGCAAGGGACGGGGAGGGCTCCTCCTTCCCCAAGCCCCACATTGTTCATTAATACAGCGTCATCAATTCAGAATCGTGACACTGTGGCTAAGAGGTACTCTAGGAAAACTGTTTTTATTTAAAAATACCTAAAAGCCAGAGCATCCATCTGGAGCATCCAGAGTTTGCTGTGACACCTGAAGCACAGCTGCCCCAGGGCACCTCCCAACTTCCAGCACTGGCAGCTGCAGGTGGGTGGAGATGGAGGAGCAGTATGTTGTGGCTGCAGCAGCCAAAACTACTCAGGATCCATTGTACACCCAAAAATTATGTTCTGACATTTCAGAGCTTCCATTCAAGCTCCAGGTTCCAGGCTAGCACAGATGCCCAGTTACCACCAGCAGGACTTTCCTGCTGGGCAGCCCCAACTGCAAACATTTCCTTAAGCAATTTGCACATCTTAAAAATAAAATCCTTTATTGATAATATGAATGTTTAACATGTTTAATGCCATCAGCTATAAAAATGATTAAAGACTTCAGCTTGGTACATTTGGCTTTACAAATTTACAAGTGTTAATGAATTAATACTAGTGTTATATGTTTTGCACTTCATTATACTCCATTAGCCAGTGACAAACTCTGCACCAATGTCTTCTTAGGACATATGAGTTAAAGAAATATTTAGTTGCTTTCACACAGAATCTACATCAACAGTTAAATACTAACTCTAAATGTCTTACTGAATTAGTTGAATCCATTTAATCCCTTGTGCTTAGTTTCTTTCAGAAGTTAGTCTACTAGCAAAAATACATTCTTTTGCATACCCCTTCCCATATTATATTTTAGAATAAACAGTACTCAGTGCATTTCCTATTAGACTTCATCATAGTATCTCTCTCTCTAGAGCTATCAATAAAGGGGATAATACCAGTCGGATTAATGTAAAAGTAAAGAAACTCATTAAAGCAGTGTATACAAAAGCCTCACTTTTCAATCAGAAGGGATACATGGGCCAAAATCTATTTGCCCATCCATTTTTTGCATTTACTCTCAGCAACAGCAAAAAAAAAAATCTGCTGTGGACACTTAGTTAAAAAAGTAATATATGTGCTTCCAAAAGAGTCACTGCCCATTTAGCTCTGGCTGCCTCCATGTCCCTGACTGTTCCACTGGATTAGAACAACAGCCCACAGTGCCACTGTCTAAAAGGCTACTAAAAGGTCTGTGCAAACCTCTAAAGCCCTGCCACGGCTGTGTGGGGTCACTCCAGCAGCACCCACCTCAAAGCAGCACAGAGCTCCACGTCCTGCGGGGCGAGGCTCAGAGCCCAAAGGGGCAGCTCTGCCCCGGGCAGCTCTGCAGCCTCCCCGGGCAGCTCTGCCCCTGGCAGCTCTGCAGCCTCCCCGGGCAGCTCTGCAGCCTCCCCTGGCAGCTCTGCAGCCTCCCCTGGCAGCTCTGCAGCCTCCCCTGGCAGCTCTGCAGCCTCCCCGGGCAGCTCTGCAGCCTCCCCTGGCACAGGGATCTCCCCACAGCAGAGGGGTTTTGCCTAACGAAGCAGTGAAAACTGAGGAAGGAGAACGAGTCTCTGGCAGTGGGAGCTGTGCTCTGTGCAAACACGACTCTGCTGCTGGGGGAAGTGCTCCACGCTGGGCGACACCAAGCAGCAAGTCCAGTTTCTAAATTTAGGATCAGCTCACATCCAGCACCCGAGATCATTAACTCGGGGTCGTGCTCTCAGCCTCTGCCACTATCTGTGGTGTTTGTCCTGCATTTTTCAGCACAGTGACTCAGAAAACCACTGTGCTGTGCCCGTTGGTTTTCTTGCAGCAAACATTGCTGCACAGGAATCAGCTGCTTCTCCTGGGTCCAAATACTTCTTCACACATATGACCTGCCTCAAACGTAGGCAATTCCTCAATGAAGAATTTTTTTAAATCTCAGTGAGTTGCCATGGTTCTTCACGAGAGGCAGAAGATGAAGAAGAGATAAACACTTCCCTAATACACTGTATGTGTGTGACATACTTACACATGTACACATACTCAATTCCACAGCAGCAATGATTTGGTTCCCTATTTGCAGCCAAGGAAAGCTAGCCACAGGTAGCAGGTAAAACCCAGGTGAGTCAGACTTAACTGACACAGATGAGGAACAAAATTATTGCTTTTGTTTAAAGTTGAAGATCCCATGTCACAGGTGTTGCAAAAAACCTGTATTGGATGGATGAGTTACTTTTTCAAGTAATAGTGAGATCTTTATCAAGTAACAGAAAGATCATTTTCTCAGAAGTTCTACACACAACAGTAGAATGCTTGAAGAGCTTGAAAATTCAAGGTGATACACCAGAAACCAGAGTTCAGCCATTTAAAGCACACAGGCATCTCGGCAGGAAAGCAGAAAGAACTATATGGACAAGGAATACTGACAGAGAAATAATCTGGATGATATCACAACTAAATTTTTTCCCAATAAACTCCTGTGTGCTTCCTCAAGTAGCTGGAAGCTATGTCCTGAAGGACATAGCCTGACTGGCTGCACCAGTCTGGTGGTCACCTAGCACAATTTGTAACACATTTGCTAACTTATCTTAGCAAATGGAAAGAAGTAAAAAGAAAACCAGTGCTGGTTTCAACATTCAGGACTCAGAAGAATTTGTTTCTGCAGCTAGATGTTCCCCTCCTCACCTTTTCCCAAGAATCACATTCATATTGCAGGCTTAGTTCAGGCACTTTTATAAAATGTTCATCTGGAATAAAAAGTCTGCAAAAATTACTTCTGCATAATTTAAAAGTAGCATTTCAGTCCCATTAGAGGTTGATAGGTCCCACCACATGATTATGGTTGTTATCTCTAATGATTTGACTGCTGCCATGAGACATTTGGAGGCTACTGTATAGCTGTAGTTAAGGTTTCTTCATAAACAAAAATATTTTCCTACCTATTAAAAAGAAAAAAAATATACTAAATGCTTTATACAGACAGAATCTGCTACTATAGAAATAAATAACATGGAGTGGAAAAACGGTGTCTTAGCTTGGGGTAAGCTAAGCTGTGGAATGTCACATTCCCATTTTCTGGAGACTAGCTGCTGCTTGGCAGGAGGATCTCCAGGTCTTTGCCATTTGACACGACAGGGTTGTTAGAGCAGCTGCTGGCCACGTCCATGGGGGCACCCAGGGAGGAGGCCTGGGAAGAGGTTTTGGTTAGAGGAGCAGGAGCAGCAGGTGACTGAGCGAGGCCGGGCTTCTTCGGAGGAATGGGTGGAGGGTTCCCTCTTTCTGCTCTGGGAATGGTTGGTGACTTAATTCCAGGAGACAACGGGCTTAGCGGGCTGGAAACCTTGACAGGGCTCGGACAGTGCCCAGAGTCGGTTTTGGGGCTGCTGGCATTCGCCAGGGTTCGGTAGTCCGTGCCAAAAGGGGAGCTGTTAGGGGAGACGGGCTTGATGGGGCCCTGCTGGCTGGTGAATCGCGACAGCACCTGGGTGACTGTGTTGCGGGCCAGCTGCTTGGCAGCAGAGTTGTCTGCCAGGGTGGGAGACAGGTCCCGGGAGGGAGGGCTCTGCAGGCCCCCTGGCTGGTGCTCCTGCTCCGCCTGGGACTGGAACTTGTGCCGAGCTGCGTGGAAGCGCTGGTTGATGCCCACCTGGTAGGAGGACTGGTAGCCGGGGCTGCTGGCCGAGGCTCCCACTAAGCGTTTGCTCAGCACCGGCGAGGAGCAGGGAGAAGGGGTCAGAGAGGAGGCAGCTGTGCTGCTGGGAGACAGGGACGCCCCAGCAGAAGGCAGCTGGGACGTCAGATGCACCGGTGACTCCGTTCTTACAGGAGAACTTCCATTCTCCACTGCACCTTCTGCGGCCGCAGCAGATTT